AAAACTTCAATTTCTCAAAAATATTTCGACGGATTTCGCTCAAATTTTCAGGGAACGTGTCAAATTGATGTAAGAAAAGGTACTGAAAGTTTGGCGGCGCTGCGCGCCGCCGTTTTTGAGATATTGCAAAAATTCGCGAGGGGGGATAAAATTTACCCCCCAGCCCCGCGCGGGTTGAGCTCGACGGTACGGATCGACTGATATGCAACGTGACCCTTTCCGGTCAGGTCGTGACCTTGACCTGAGGTCAAATTTTCAAGTTGACCTTTCAAGGTCAAGTTATAGTTCATTCGATGCGTCTTGACGAGAGGAACACGATGCCGGTAAAAGTAAGCTCGTACAAGGCCTGGGTCAAAGTTATTGCAGAAAAAACTGTTTCCGAAAAAAAAAATCGGCTATTTTTGCAGTTTTTGCCCCCTGCAGGCAAAACCGTTGACGTTAGGTCAAATCTGAGAGAATTATCCAGAAAGGGCGTTAATAGGGCTATCGAATGCGCTTTTCCGCGGCGCTGTAGCTCTATTGGTTCCCGAGTTATGCGTTGGCTTCCTGGAAATTGTCGACATTCGACCTGGAAATCGGCGAAATTTTGCCTTCAATGACCTCTGGTGACCTGACCTTTGACCTGACCAAAAAAGTGACCGAAGTGATTTCGTCACTATTTTTGGCGCTCTTTCGAACGCCGCCATACGCGTATCGCTACGTGGCCCAGGAGCCGAGTAAGAAGGGGGGTGTTCAAACACCCCCCCCCCCCCAGCAGGGCGTGGAAATCCAGGACCCCCAGCCGGGCGCGGGTTAACCTCCCAAACACTGGAAACAAACAGCCTCTCTCATCCTACAGTTCTGCGATATTCTTATTTGACCGATGGAAGTTTCCTCTAAAAGAACGAACGCGTTTACCCGAAAGAATAATCTCCGTATTGAGCGTTTAATTGATTGAGAGATCCTTATCTGATATACCTACTGGATTACCTACTGGATATACCTATTGGATTCATCATCGGAATGGGACGTGTGATTGCGAACATTCGTCAGTAGACTCACGTTGATATAGGTACCTAACGCGAAAACGCCCGTATGGTCTACAAAAAAAAAACTGAAATCCGTGGCCCCCATAACAGAAAAAGACTAAAAGCACAGCGACAATATAGTTATCGACGACAGTTTTTTCTTCGGAGGTTCTTTGAACCTGTGTTCTGTATTCGGTGTCAGGAACAATAGTCGATTTATCTACCAGCGGGAGAGCCGATTATTGGGGGGGGGGGGGCAAAAGATAGTATGTCCCACCCAACATTTTGGTTGGGGGGGACATGTCCCACCCGTCCCCCCCGGTGGCGGAGCCCTTGCGGCCACTAAGTGCAATAGCACAAAAAGTCGAAATATCGTCACTGGCATTCATCCTTAAACCGTTCTTTCGATGGAAATTTAAGTGAGAATTAAGAAACGACAACTGTATTCAGCAGTTAACAGTACACTGCACTGCAACACAACACTGCACTCGCTGCAACGCAACAGCGCGGCGCCAACAGAGCAGCAAACTAACACAACCGTAAACACAGCAAGCAAACTAACACAGCCGTAAACACAGCAACCCGAAACGTTGAGCTTTAACGACAGAAGTCGCAAACAAAACCGCGTGGAGTCATTCCGGACACGTGTCCGGTATTACCCCGAGGTCAGCTTTATTTTAAGAAAGCAGGCAGCAGTCAAAGGCATTGCGCCGCAAACGCCTCACATCCAGCAGTCGCCTAAGAAAGGCTTAATTGAAGGTCATTGCAAAGCAGCACTTCTGAAAATGCGTTAACACATTTCACAGTCAGCAAATAGATGCAACAAAATTAAAAATCAGATACGAAAAACACATTGAACGCTATAAAAATGAAAATAATTGAGCTACCGTGACAAACTTGCACCACGTGCTAGAATGGCGCTCAACTGCTCAACTGAAATGTAAGCAACATCAGCTGATTAGTGATGGACAAAGTACTCACTAGAGATGGGTGGCCGGCATTACCCACCGTCCGCCATTGCCCCGCTCTCCCCGTATTACAATCATGGACAATCCACACGGGGCGTGGCGATTACAGTCCAGAGTCTGAGTCGGGTTGGGACAAAAACATGCAGGGGTTAGAATACAGACATAACGATTTAATCACAGGACACTCACTCTCTCTATATACATACGGGCAATTCAAGTCAGCGCGCCACACACGGCTGCGGAATACCCCCTCCCCCTGACATGGGTCAGCGTCGGGCGATCGTCATCGCCGGACAGACTGCAGCCTTGGCCGCACGGGCGAGGCTTGGCGAGGCTTGGCCGCACGGGCGTCACGCATTTGCTAATGCGTGACGCTATTATCTTAGTTTGCTGGCACTCGTAGTGGGAGGGGTAGGGTACGGGGTAACGATCCCTTTTAACCCTATTCCTGGCGGGGGGGGGGGGGGCCTTTAAGGCCCCCTTCAGGTTTTTCTTGTGCCATTGCCAAACGCCGCAAGACTGAAAGCTCATACTCGGTGACTTTTTCTAAACATTCATTGCGCACATTTTGACAAAAAAAAAGTTGCCGGGTCAGGGTCAGGTCAGGTCACCAGAGGCGGTTTGGTGACCCCACCTCAGAAAAGTTTGCAATCACGCCAGAGCTAGAGTTTTTGACCGATCAATTTCTTCTCTTCAGGTTTTAGTTAGGGTACCAGTATGTGCAATTTGTATCTCTCAGAATTTTCATATCTGTGACCTGAGGTCAGGCCAGACTCGTGACCTCTACATTGCAAGCCTATGGGAAAACATTGAAACGCCTCCTGCTTCGTGTAAACGAGTCAAAACCACCCAATTCTTTTAGTATTATGGAAGATTATCTCATCGGTGATGATCCTGGTGCCGCTAATTGACAGGGGCACCGGCAAAGGTCATCTGAGGTCATGTGACGTCATAAATCGTTTTTCTGTCAATAAATCACGACATGATGGTGCTAAAGACTTGTAAAAGGTACCAAACTGCTCGCCTGGTCAAGGCGCGTCGTTTGGTATGCAGCATGACCATACCCCACAACCTCATTGATGAATGACCTGACCTTGACCTCAGGTCAAATTTCAAATTGACCTGTGAAGGTCATCACATACTTATTTCGCATCGCCTCGGCGAGAGCAACAAAAAATGTATTGGTTTTATGTCTCTATGTTTCTTAGTTTAAAAGTTATATAGGTAACTAATTCCAAAACATTTTATCGTTGATGACCTCTGGTGACCTCAATATTGACCTGACCTGAAAATGTTTATGTTGAAGTTGTAGATCTTTAAACGACCTATCAAACGCCGTTTGCCGTTTGTCGCTGCGATGTGTAGTTTTTGAGATCTGAAGGGGGGGGGGGGGCGAATCGGCCCCCCCGCCAGTTTCTTGTCCCGGCGGAGCCCGCCAGGAATAGGGTTAAATCATACAGTTTCTTTTCGAAAACGAGTTTTATAACAAACAATTACTCTACAATGAATGAAAAAAATAGACAACCGATCTTCGGTGATCGGTATTCGGTGGCGCGATCTCCTTCACCTATGCGTACCAGTTGCGCTACAAGACCGCCACTGCACCATGCCAGCACGCTGGCTCACCGCTCAGCAGCTTATGGTATGAATTAGTCATTATTTTGTTCCGACAGTGAGCGGTATTTTGAAGATGACTCAGCTTTTCTGTACCTAAATGTGAAAGTCAGCAAGCATGGAAACTTCACTGCTGACTGCACTGGCGTCGCGAGTGGCGGTCTCGGGACTGAAGGAGGGGATGGGGAGGACAACCGCCGAAATCGGTGTTCGGGTATGACCCTTTCTTCCCATGTAGGCGCTATCATAAACGGTATGCTAAATATCGGATTAAGCTCTCGCCGTTTTCACCCTTGTTGAGCAGCTTCGTGAAAAAAACGAGCATATGCGCTGTTACGAAATGCAGCGGCTGTTACTCCATCTTATGATCTCAGGCTAACCGGTGACCTCTCAGGACATAGGCATCGAATGTCCCATCGTATTGGTTCAATTTTGATGAAGAGTTTAGACATAAAAAAATGTTTGCAGAGCCGCAGCCCGCAACTTTGGCTTAATCGTATTTGTAATGATCATGCGCATCAAATAATATACTTTTTGTATGAAAAAAATCAATTTATGTAGGGTTTCGACCTAAATTGTAGGCTACTCAAAGATCAAGTTGTAGGGAAATCATTCGATTTGGCGGGTCTTTCCGAGTCTTTCGGTGACATTCCCGACTCGCTTAGTTTATAGGGAGTTGTTGACGAATAACCCGATCACCTAGTGACATCCCACACCGTATTATGCATCAGCAGGGTCAGAAATACACTAGTTTACTATCTACTATCGGACTTGCATAACTGCCTACACATGTCCCTATTTCCCCTGTTGACCGACAGCAGCGAGGTCACGAGACCGACATGACTTCAGGCGACCTTTCCTTTGAATAAAAAAGTGCAATACAAAGAGGGTCCGTGCATTCGGGAGGCTACTACGGCCTAACTTTATTTCCCTGCGGACAAAATATGTCACGGAGGGCGTGCGAGGTTGTGACATTTTATGACCGCGTGCAGATGTTAACTCATGTCAAAACCCAAAGGACAAAGGTCAGTGACCCGACCCGACTGTCGACTGACATGCGGTTGTTGACCCTACAAAGCACCGTTCCGGTGTCGGCTAACCAGATTTCAGCCTGTTAATTCCTTAGTCTCCCGTTCCAATTTCCATGACTCCGCACTCGGCATTCTACCGTTCTGTGGGTGCGGGTGGCTGTCCAGTGTCCAGTGTCCGTCTGTCCCAGCGCAGTTACCCACCATTATCTGCTGGTCCTACTGTCCCAGTGATGCCTACTCACCATGTCTGTCCCAGCTACTCACCATGTGTCTGTCCCAGCTACTCACCATGTGTCTGTCCCAGCTACTCACCATGTCTGCCCCAGCTACTCACCATGTCTGTCCCAGCTACTCACCATGTGTCTGTCCCGGCTACTCACCATGTCTGCCGGTCTGTCTCGGTGGAGGGCGGTCCGTCGCACTGTGTCACCGCTGGCCGGACACTGGCGGACCGTCTCCAGCAGTCCAGCTCCGGTTCGCTCATCGTGTCCGCTAACACAAACAAATCGACAGTGCCAGCGGCAGAGCGACTCTCCAGACGCCCACTGAGCCCCCTGACAGGTCCCGCTCAGCTGCGGCCATTCACCGCTGCAGCGCGCGGGTAGGACTGCACTGGACACTGCACGGATCTGCAGAGACTTGCAGAGGCAGCGGAGACATGGGTACTTCTCAGAGCTGCAGAGACTTGCAGAGGCAGCGGAGACATGGGTACCTACTTGGTAGGTCTGTGCTCTAGATACATCGCAGGGACGGCAGCACGATCCCTCCCTTCCGTCATCCCACCCCGTCAGAGTCCCGCCCCGTCCTGTCCACTGCACAGACTGCCAGATTTTGCAGAGGTGTGGATACGGTGGCGACAGTTAGGTACTCTTTTAGGGCAAACGAATCACATTTAATATTTATCACGGAAACAGATCGCCGTGATAGTGTTGCCTACTTCCTAACAAAGTCATTCATAGCGCTATGTCTGCTGTCGCTCGGTATAACGGCCGATGGACACTTGTGTGTACGACTGGAACATGACCCAATGTCTTGTTTATGTACCTCACTCATCACTGTGTGACATCGCATAACGCCGCGAATATTATGCAGGACAACAAAAAGAGCTCGAGCCAAACCGAGCCAACCCTCCCTCGCCCATGTTGTCATGGGCGAACCCCATCTGAGAGCAGGAGGCGGCTGTGGCCAGCTCCTACGGTCCGTATACCGATATCTACATGCAATTACGCCTATATTATCCCGCGGCCCGCGCCTCGCTGGGGTTCTGGATTTCCACGCCCTGCCGGGGGGATGCTAGAACACCCCCTCCCCTCTAACTCGGCTCCTGGGTCTCGTATAGCAACATGCGATAAGCAGCATTCCAAGGAACGTCCAAAATAAGGACGAAAACACTTCAGTCATTTTTTAGGTCAAAGTCAATGGTTAGGTCACCAGAGGCCATCAAAGGTAAAATGTTGCCTATTTCAACATTTTTTCTTCTTCTCGAAACAGCGGCACTTATTTCGGGAACCAATAGAAATACAGCGCCGCGGAAAAACGCATTCGAATTTCGATAGCCATCTTTCGGAGATGTGTCCTCAGATTTCACCTCAAGGCCAACGGTGTAGCCTCCAGAGGGCAAATACTCGAAAAATAGCCGCTTTTACGAAAAATGCTTTTCTTCAATAACTTTTGACTCAGGAGAGTTACATTACTTTTGCCAGCATCATGTTCCTCTTACTGAGACGCGTCGAATAAACTATAGGGTTGACTCTGAATTGAAAGGTCAGCTTGAAAATTTGACCTCAGGTCAAGGTCATGACCTGGCCGGAAAAGCTCATATTGCATATCAGTCGATCCGTATCGTCAAATTGAACACATCTAAGGCGTTTTCGTCGCTCTAGAATGCCTCAATCAGAAGCTATTAGCGAAACACTGTTTGATACCATTCGTGACCTGAGATGACCTCGAGGACGTAACGAGGGGTCACGGTACCATTTTCCGTTTCAGTGTGTCATGCTTACTTATAATTCGGTGTTTGAAAATGTTTAGAATGACGTTCGTCCAAAAAAGGCGCTTTCAATTTTCTTCAATTGACTAAAATGGAGAGGTCGCAAAATTGACCAGACCTTGGGTCACCGATATCAAAATTCCGAGATACGCATTTTGTACCTACCTAGTGTATTGTTCCTTTTATCGATTGCAGATGGTTTCAAAACGGTTTGTCACTCGGTGTAGCTATGGCGGGCATTGAAACTTTTTTAGGTGATGTCACTTGACGTGACCTGGTGACCTGATCCTCAGTGACCTTGGTCTGAAATTTTCACAGCATGTGTGGAAAAGATATATGATGAGGAACGTCAAAAACGGCGGGGCGGAACGTGAGATGTTCGCGAAAAACACTTCAAACACCTCCCAGCAGGGCGCGGAATATCGTACGAGCGGAAACCAGTTTCGTTGGATGTTGTAGAGTGCCGCCATCTAGCGTTGGGATATGTGAATGTTCGTTTGCTGGCCTCGTCGCTGATGTCGATCTTCGCAGCTGCCAACCATTACCTTCTTCCGTTGTGCCTACGCTTTCTAACCACTGGTCATGCCAGGGCATATTTCGAGGCACTTACTGCCTCCCATTTCCCGGGACGCAGTCTTCTCTTCTTGGGACGTAGCCCCTGCTGATTTGACCTACTGCGTCCCTGTCCTGTCCTGTGCCCTGCTCTCTGTCCCGACCTGTTCCGTACCCTGAGCGAAGAGCATCGTCCTGCTCTTTGCCCTCTGTCCTGTGCCCTTCCCTCTAAAAATGTCCTATGCCCTGCTGCGTGCCCTGTCCTGCGGACTTAGCCGCAGCATGCTCTGCTCTACTCAACTTCGGGAAGCAGTAAAAATGGTGTTGAAATATGCCCTGGTTCATGCAGAACTGTGTGCTAGTTTCGCTCATCTGCGGCCAATATTGCTGGTTTCTCATAGGCGTTCGATCGTGTTGTTCGGAGTCAATCGCACACGATCCCGATCCGCCCCGATCCCACCCATCTAGCCTCCTCACTCCCATTCAAACACCGGTCTCGGTTCTCCAACGTAAATTGTGCAGAAGGCCAGCAATGTACAGGTGCAGCGGGACAGACAGGCGGGGCACACATACACACTCCTTTGTAGGACGGCCGGCGGGTCACCTGCAGAGGATGACCGGCTCGGCCCCATCGGGTACCTATACATAGAGACGGCGGCTCACACCCACACACATACACACACAGGCAGAGGCGGCGACCGAGGGTAAATACACTGACGACGGGCATCGAGACGCTCTGCCGGCCCCTGCAAACGGCAGACGGAACAGCGAAGCAAGCCCATAGACCCGGCCAGGAGAACCGAATGCTGGGGAAGTGATGAGCAGCAGCGCCCCGCCGCAGCAGCCTCGCCATTAGACGAAACGGTAAACCTAGTAGGGCAGCGCACACAAGTCACACAGTTCATCCCTCCCTCACCGGCCAGGAGCCGTGATTAGGCGGCGGTCCAGCCGGTAAAAGTAGCGTACACGCTAAACACGGTCACAATCATGCGTCAGCTCAGTCATACATCTTATGGCGCTCACCAGCCGCTGCCAGCGGCCGGAGACCGAGAGCCGGTGGTAACCCACGCTGCCAGCGACTCGCCAGCTGCGTCTATCAGCCAGTGTTTTACAATACCATCCCTCCCTCCCCACCGGAGAACCCGAGACGATGAATGCTACCCCCTATCCTATGCGCGCATATTTACATGATCGATCTATGAAGATAGGACAGCATTCTACAATGAACATCCCTCTCAATGTCCCCCCCCCCCACACACAGACATACGTCCCACCCACCCCGGTAAATTCTTAACGCTACGATGACCCCTCCCCCACGCACACACACACACACACCTCCACTAACGTTAACTACTGACGTTAACTACCCCACATGAATGCGACTCCCTCCCCCTAACACTAACCCACCCATCCACCCACCCACTCACACTCACTCACTCTGCCGCCTCGCTCCCGCCCTGTACGCCGCTCGCCCTCAGCAGCCGCCGCGCACCGTCAGCAGTCCCTGCACTGTGTCCGTCTAACTGGGCGGTGGTGGCGGCGGCGCGGCCAGCAGCGTCGGAAGGCCGGCCTGCGCCAGCATGCTCAGGTCAGACTGCGAGCGAGGCGGCTGCTGTTGCGGCGGCGGCGGGGGCGGAGGCGGCGGCGGCGGAGCGGCAAACTGCCCCCACGGCGGCGTACCGTACATGTTTGGCGGCGGCACTGAGGGCGGACCGACGGGCCGCGGCGGTGGCACCGGACCGGGCGGCGGCGCCGACATCGGCGGCGGCTGCTGCTGCCAGGGCGGCCGCCAGCCGGCGCCTCCGGACGGCGGCGGCGGCGGCGGTCCGCCCGACGGCGGCGGTCCCTGGAACTGGGACGGCGCGGGCGGCGCCGCCGAGAAGTTGGGCTGGCCGCCGGGCGGCGGGCCCTGGCGGCCGGTCGGCGGCGGCGCCTGGGTGTTGGCAGCGCCGCCCCAGCCCGGCGGCTGCCGGCTCGTGTTGGTGCCGCCCGCCGGCTGCGACTGAGATGGCGGCGGCTGCGACAGCGGCGGCTGGGTGAGCGGCGTCTGCGACAGCAGCGAGCGGATGGGCCCGGTGGGCGGCGGCACCACGGAGCTGGACCCCGAGCCGCCGCCGCCGCCGGCGCCCCAGCGGTTGTTGCCGCCGCTGCCCAGCGGGCTCGAGTTGCTGCCGGTGAGCGGCTCCATCAGGGGCCGCGGCGCGGCGCGCGGCTCGAACGCTGTCCGGCCGCTGTAGCGCGACAGGTTGCCGCCGCCGTACCCGCCGCCGCCGCCGCCGGCCGAGTCGTCCTTCTTGACCGGTGGCGGGCCCTCGCCGAGCTCGGCCATCAGTGACATGTACTCCTCGTCAATTTTCGCCCGGTCTCCACCATCCCCGGCACCCATACCGCCGAGCCCTCCGGCGCCGCCCAGACCCATGCTGCCGCCGCGGCGCAGCCGGCAGTCGCGGGCGATATGGCCAGCGCCGCCGCAGCTGTTACAGATCACGTTATTGGTGACGTTGGGCTTGTCGGGACACTGCCACGACTTGTGGTTGTTGGCGCCGCAGTTGCTGCAGCGCGGGGTGTCCTGCTCGCGGAGAGTGCCGTTCAGCAGGGCCAGCTCGCGCAGCTGGTTCTTCCGCAGGTCGTTCTGATCCTCCGGCACCTCCACGCCCTGGCGGATGATCTCCTTGATACGGTCCACGGCCTTCTTCACGCACGCCGGGTTGATGGAGGAGATGATGGCGTGAAGAGGCTCATCCTCCCCTGGCATCGAGTGGCCGTCCTTGCGGCTCACTTTGCCCTCCTTCACCGAGCCCTTACCACGAATGATGATCTTGGCACCAGACTCCTTCTCCAGCGCCTTCAGGGTGTTACCACGCGGCCCGATCAGCAGACCGAACAGGTTAATCTCGGGATGCTCCTCCTGCGGGATGACGATCTTCTCCGTGACGAGCGTGGTCGGTGGCTTGTAGTCGAGCGGCGGCTTGTAGTCGGCATTCAGCTGGTACATCTTCTGCACCAGCTTGTGCCGCTCGTCCTCGAGTCGGCGCCGGGTCCGGAACTCGCGCGTGTTCATGCGCTTGCCGTCACTGCTGTATATGGGCTCCGGCGACGGAGAGCGCTGCGCCGGGTCGGCCGGGATGCCCAGGTCGCCCGAGCGCAGCCGCCGACTGAAGTCCTCGATCTGCAACTGTATCAGATACGCCTCCTCCTGGTTCTTGTTGAGGTTGGTCGGCAGGATGGTCGGCATGCCCGGGATGAACGTCTTGTCGTTCTCGTCGCCGCCCCAGCGCGAGCGGCGCTTTCTCCGCCCTCCGCCGCCGCCGCCGGAGCCGGAGTCGCTCGAGCCGTAGTCCTTCCGTTTGCGGTCTCCGCCGGAGTCGCGGTCCCGGCTGCGGTCCCTGCTGCGGTCTCGGCTGCGGTCCCGGCTCCGGTCGCGGCTGCTGCGGTCGCCGTTGCTGCTGCCGCTGGTGATGGCTAGCGGCTGCTCGGGCTCACCGGTCAGGTAGCTGGGTTTGAGCAGAGAGCCGCCGGTCGGTTTGCGGCCGCTGCCCAGGATCGGGTTCAGCTTGGCCAGCCGCACGTTGTTGGCGCCCGAGCCGGCCATGGCTGCGTCGGTCGCTGGCGCCTGTACGGGCTGAGACGGCTGAGTCGCGCGGTCCGCACGCGAGCACGGTCAACTGCTGGGGGGTCACAAAGAAAAAAACACGACACACAAAACCAGGTTAGCACGTGATGCATAGACCTTCTCCAACACTACAAACTTACCTTTTCAGTTGTGACCTCAAGAGTCCAAATTTTCTTTTTCTTTTTAAATTTATGTTTGTTATTTATATAGCATAATAATAGCTAATGTTTTATTGAATGATGTGATGAGGAATAATTTGGACGGAAATGTACTCTTCCGTTACTCTGTTTATGCATCGTAATAACTGGGAACCGGGAGTAATTTTAGAGTACTTGGTCCCATACCGACCAGCCTGGAGGGGGGGGGGGGGGGGGGCAGAACGGCGACCATTTTGTAGGATAGCTTTTATTGAACACATCAATTGAAGGAGATTGATGCGCTATTTTCTCAATGCTACGTTGACGTTTCTTCTAACAGCGTTGGTTAAAAAACACCGTATGATGACCCAGGACTCGAATGGATAATATTCAGCAATAGCATAGTTAAATTTTTCAACCTTATGTCTGCCAATCTATCGTAGCAATCGGTTGTAATAAAGGAGACGATTTAGGGTGTAGAACGCCTAGACTGCAAAAGACATCGGCGCATCTGCAGCCCATCGCTCGTATCTGCCCATTCTTTTTTTCTATCAGTTATCACCTAAAGTCAGTGGTGAAATGGAAGCTTCTGTTGTGGTGTAACCTATATTAGGTGTTATAAAATGTAAGCGTTTGAAATACGGTTGACTTGCTTAACATTTAGCCTTCAATACGGGATGCTTCGACATTTCGACGGAGCTTTGAGCCGAAGTCTTGGAACTGGCTAAAAATGGTGGTCACTTTTTATATCCTGAAAGCACGGAACAAATAGTGCATGGACGCGTTTCGATTTTTTAATCTTCATCAGCATGACATAAGCACAAAGAAAACAAGATATAAGTTATGTCTTTTATTTGTGCTAATGTCATGCAGATGAAGATTTCAAAATCGAGACGCGTCCATACACTATTTGTTCTGTGTTTTTCTACTTGTTTCTATCAATATACAATTTCATAACCCTACCAGCAGACAAGTGAGTTAATAAAGAAATATTTCATGTGAAGGAATGCGTCTAATTGTTTTATGGCAGAAGTTATCGAATAGTTGATACATTGGAAATGGAAATTCAGCCCGTCATTTGCCAACTTCACACAATTTAGAAGACGATGCCGTGAGAGGGGTTAATGAAAGCTGCCACCCCCCCCCCCCCAAACAAACATAATAGCCGGATCTGTGGAGCAATTTCTTGATCAATAGGTTGGCTGTTTTCATTAGGCCTGGAAATGAACCAAAAACCGCACAGAAAGCAATGAGCGACCGTCAACAAGATTGCTCGTGTGATCAACAAAAGAAGTCTCTTGATATTTCTGCACCAAGCTCCAAACTACGGAGAAGTTTTACGATTTTTCATTGCCTGTAGTCGGGAGGGCCGTTGAAAAGAGAACACTGAACTGAGCTCTCGAATTTCCGACTCGTTTTACTATTCCCTCATTGATAAATGATACTTTGTAATAAAACAAAACTGAGAAGATGGTGAGCAGATGGTGGTGAGAAGAGATGAGCTTTCTTTTTAGCTGGCTATATTGTTTGACTTTTTCGACACATTTCTCTTCTCTGCTCTCGCTACATCCTTCACCAGTTTACCGGCTGGGAAAACATGGACGATATTCCGAGTACTTGATTAGAACGACGTAATCGTAAGCGTCAATCTTTTTCAATATAAAGGAAGGGAAATATGCCTAGCAGAAAATAACGAATGTCATCCTTACGCAGCAAGCATGCAACTCTGCCTGCAACTGGGATGAAATTTTAATAAGAGATTTTAACAACGTCCGTCGGACTGAACTAAATTCATCGAGGGAAGGACCATGTGAATTTTCGAAGAATGCTTTCGTTTATAAGGCATGCCCATTGGAAACAGCGTTACAGTAAGCTGTCGTCTGCAGCAATTTAGCAGCAAACAGTGTTTTTTTTTGCGAACGCTTCCTTCAATTCCACCCCTACAGCGACCAGAACAACCCCTCGATTTCATCCCTAAAGCTGACGTAAGCTGAACCGAGTAGCAGCTGATAAGGAAGTCCTGCAGCGCCAACCTGTGATCGCCGCCGCATGCTAAAGTCAAAGACTGTCGGGTTTGGCTGTGTCCACCGACCAGTGGCCGCCTCTAACCGTGTCGCCGCCAGTGCCAGGGCCCGCGTCGCTCGCTCCGGAGGCCGCCGGTCGCGGCGCCACTCGCCGGGGCGAGTCGGCCGGCCGGGCCGCGCCGCCGGGGCAGCGCCCTCTGAGAGCAGCTAGGTCAGCCGGGCCGTCAGTTAGTCAATAAGGGACGGACAGTACCAGCCAGCAGCCGGTTCAGCCTCCGGGTCATCCCCTGTAGCCGGTTTGAGTGGGTTTCTAGCGACTCCTGGTCAGGCAGCGGTCGACACGAGATCAAGACAGGACACTGGTCAGCGCACAGTTCACTTGGTCAGTGGAGCTGCGAGTCTCTGCCGGGCGGCTGGCGTTCTCTGCCGCACAACTTTGCAGGCTGGATTTGGAACCCTTTGGTCAGATGGTTGGCTATTTGTGAATGGTCAGTGGGTCATTCAAACACTCGTGGTCTAGACTAGCTCACGAGCTAAAAGCTGCGCTTTCCACTGAAAGGTTATCAGTCAATTTACTAGCAGGGGATCAGGCGGTGTTCGAAGCTTCCTCCTTGGTTAATGGTCAATTGAAGATCGCCGGGTCAACTCTGAATGGTAGGAGTCACACATTGAACATCGTTCAACAGCGACAGTCAACCAACAGCCGAGAGGGTCAGCCTAAGACGGATCGGTCAGCGGTGTCCATTCGGAAAATATGGTCAATCGGTTAGTGACTCCTTGGTCATCAGCTAGGCTGGTTGGTGAGCTGCGGGCTCCTGATACGGGCTGGCTGGTCCGCCGGTCAGTGCTGGCTGACGGTCGGATCTGCGTTCCCGGCGTGCCGAGTCGGCGGCTAGGTCGGCTGAGTCAGATTGGTGCTGCCACCGGCCGCCAGGTATCCGGCAGACCCGGCGGCCGGGAGACGGGCGGGCTAACGTGGAAGGTCATTCGCTGCGGGGTTAGGTTATCTGCATCGCTGCCAGCGGCCTGTCAGACTAGCCGGGCAGCTAAAACAGGGGGACTGTGAAGTGACTGCTGGTTTCCCCATACCATAAACTATACCAGGATGAGTGTCATAATCTGTCGGTACCCACATTCTGCAGAGCCACGCCCCAAGGGTAATGTCAATTCATCTTTATACATATGATGGTTGGTAGAGCACCGAGGTCGTATAAAAATGTTAATTGTCCAACACACTTTAGACACCAAATTAAAAGAAACCAAAAATAAAACTCATTAAAACCTAAATTCCATTCAGGAACATTGCTCAATAGATGTACTCAATAGATGTAGGTATGTAGAAAGAAGAGGTACACAAGCACTAGCAATTATTACTAAGAAAACAAAAATCTAAACATATTAGATATTGAACATTTTAAATTGAAATAAAAGGGATGAGAATATAAAACATGACATTAACCTTTTAGTTATAAGTATTATCAGTTTCAAACGCACTGTCTGGTTAAGATGAATTTTGTTGGTCATGCACTGGACATTGCAATAAGAATAATTACAAAGACTGACCAAACTTTTTCCATGTGAGAAGAACTGAAGGAATGTTCTAGGTCGTGTTTGGACAAAAAACTATGCATATTGCAATCAATTACCAACAAAATGATATCGATGTTGGATACATCAAGAAAAATAGCATTGCCCTCTAAAAAATTGTGCACCAAACATTTACAGGAAGATATTGCTAATGTCTGGCAGATTCTTCATACTAGGAAAAATTAGACTATTATATAGAAATAAATATGATATACAACTTTGATATTTTCTGCCCATCATCACTGCATAGTAATAAAACACACAAACATTGTTTCTGAGTCATTGACACCAAGCATACACAATTCATAAAGCAAATGTGAACACTTCTAAGAACCATTGAAGCATACACATCAAACTTGATATTGAAAAAATCACATTGAAAAAATGCAAGAAAGCAAGACACAGCAGCAATCCTATGATGAGCAATGCACTTGCACACTGCACATCATGAGCTCTTGCCACCGGACACAACCTTCATAGAACATGTTGCATATTTTTTAACTGAATATTATAAAAATTCAAACCGTTATACAAGAATTGCTGGAACAGAACATAAGACAAAATCAAATCATAAATCACACAATCAAAAGAAGAGAAATATTTGTACTAAATAACAACTTTAATTGTATACCAATTACAATATATGTATTAGAAATGGCTAAGTGACCATTACCAACATATTTTTCGAAGCTAGTGGATGACAACCTCACCTGGCAATAGTCAGAAACCGAGAAACCCAGCTGGGGAGGACCTTAGATCAACTTCTGGTACTGCAGGTAGGTGTAGCTCTGGAACATTGGAATTAATTGTAAATGCCGTGGAGCTGAACAGTTTGGCTTAGTTGCAATATGACTAAGGCATGTAGTGTAGGTACCCACAAGGGTACAAGTCAGACTAGTTGATAATACATACTGGTAAAGTTCAGCCAACATGAAGTGCACTGAGATAGCAATGGCACAACAGACATATCAATCACAAACAGGTTTTTCTCAGCCTCTCATTGGGGCACACCTTACCCCATATTAACTTCACAAATAAGAATCCGAGAAATGCCAGACAAATGACAAAAAATATTCATGGCACATGTAAGATTGAATGCAATGCTTCATGCAAGCAGATCAACAGTAAATTTGATTGGTACCAATTGAAATATGTTAATATTAACTAAATCACTTCAAATACCAAAAACACATCAAATGACAGGACCACAGGGGAGCACTGCCGCTTCAACCCTATTGGCCGTAGTGTCTAACGGTGGCGGCCATATTGCGCAGACCAGGAACCGGCTGCCGCCTGTGTTGAGGAATAGGGAATTCGGGACCTCGATTTACGTTTGCAGCCGCCGCATCCGTTACGTTTTAGTTACGTAGATACGGAACCCGGCATCTTACGCAGAATTGAGTGGGGAACACGATCGTATCTTCAGAATTCCTCAAATTCACTCGCCGGACCTACATTTGCCCCGGCCGAGGGGGTTGATTGAACCCACCTCACTAATGCGCCGCTAATTAAACTAGAATTAAGCGGTAAAGTGGTCGTTTGCGACAAAGTATAATGCAGAGTGACTGGTAGGAACCCACTGTAAAGGTCCTGGGTCAACCGGTGACCTCTGAGGTCAGGTCAAGTGATCTAAGGCACGGGTTCGGTTTTTGGTAAATAACTTCGCCAAAAATGGCCGTAGAGCCGCGATTTTGGCATCATCGTGTTCAGCTAGCTCAGGCGCATCGAGTGATATACTTTTTGTTCGGTTCAGGTCAACTTAGGGTGTTGACCTCAGGTCAAGGTCAGGTCAGCACCCCCAGGTCACGAAGTTGGTCGAAAGAGGTCATGTCGCATATCATTCGATTCGGCAGGTCTTCCTGAGTCCATTGGTGGCTTTTCCGACTCGCTAGCTCAATTTGATCGGGAGTTATTGAAGAAAAACTGTGACCCTTGTGACGTCACAAATGACGTCACGCAAGGGCAACAATGCAAATATGAAGCATAGAACCTTGCAAGGAGTGCATGAAATCATGATTCTATATGCTTGAGATAGTTTCAGATCATTCTCGGCGCCAAAATAGCAATTTTCATATTTCCCCATTGACTTATAAGGGTTTAACGTATTAGTTCCTTGTAGCTGATAATTTTTTAGGATTTCATCTTATTTTCCACTCAATTCTGCGTAAGATGCCGGGTTCTGTGTCCACATAGCTTGAACGTAACGGATGCAGCGACCGCTAACGTAAATCGAGGTCCCGAATTCCCTATTCCCCAACACAGGCGGCGGCCGCTTCCTGGTCTGCGCAACATGGCGGCACCGTTGGACACCATCTGGCGACCGATGCGCCTTCCACATTTTAGAGTTCAGTGGACAGGACAAGTAGCGTGCACATACAATTATGGCGCACCACGTTTATCTAAAAAGCACTCAATATTACATTCCAAGGCACCAATGTGACATTATTGGACAAACCTAAATTAATTGGGATAAGGTATTATCCACTCGTTACTCATCTGGTAGGAATAGTCCGGCAGCAAAGCTAGCCTTGAGAGACTTCTTCACAATTAACAGTGCTCTCAAATCATTCGCCATTGATTCTCAATCCAGGTACGAGCAGGACCTAATCAACGACCTCAAAACAGCCCCTAAACGGTTTCATGCTTACCTGAGGCGTAAAAAAGTTGGTTGTCCTAGTGTTGGACCCCTCCGCCTTGACGATGGCAGTCTTTCAGACGATCCTGGTGTATTGGCAGAAGTATTCGCCACTGCATTTGCCAGTGTTTTCTCTACTAACCAAGCAATCTGTCACTCTAACCCTCCAACAGCTCACCAGACAGCGTCGAGCCAAATGGCAACCATGGACATCTACCCACAGGATGTGCTGTCTGTGCTACAGGCCTTGGACATCAACTCAGCAGCAGGCTCAGACGATCTTCACCCCATGCTTCTCAGGAACTGTGCCACTGGGCTTGCCTACCCACTCTACCTGCTATTCCAAAGGTCCCTCGGAGAAGGCAAACTCCCAACTCTGTGGAAGTCATCGAGAGTTGTCCCGATTTATAAGAAAGGTTCAAGGTACGACGCACTCAACTACAGACCGATCAGCCTCACTTCTGTGACGTGTAAATGCTTAGAGAGAATCATTGTTCGTCATCTCTCAGCTTACCTGGAAGACAACGGCATCCTGACTGACCACCAGTTCGGATTTCGAGCAGGCAGGTCTACCATGGATCAACTGCTCCTGGTGTACAATGAGGTGTCACTTCATGTGGACAGTGGAAGTGTCGTTGATGTCGTGATGTTCGACTTCGCCAAAGCGTTTGATGTCGTTTCTCACCAAATCCTCCTAACAAAACTTCGTCTCCTTGGTATCCAGGACAGCCTGGTCCGATGGATCGAGGACTTCCTAGTTGACCGACAAATGGCCGTACAGGTGAAGACAAAGCTGAGCAGCCCTCACCGTGTCACCAGTGGTGTCCCCCAGGGCTCTGTTCTGGGACCCATCCTATTTCTGATATTTGTAAACCACGTTGCTAGCAACCTGTCATGCCGTTACAAGGTTTTTGCAGATGACCTGAAGATGTACATGAAAATTCGTTATATCCCGCATGCCAGCTATGACCTCGATTCACAGATGTGCCAGCGTGACATTGATATGCTGCAGAGCACTGCTGAGTCTTGGTGTCTTTCTCTGAATGTTAAAAAGTGTGTTGTCCTTCGTTTTCACAGGAAATTCCACGCTCTCCCCCCTCCATGTTATCACATCTCCAATGCCCCAATCCAGGTTGTCCACTCCCACACCGACCTTGGCGTTTTAGTTGATTCAGACTTGAAGTTTCACAATCATATTACAGCAACGATTTCAAAAGCCGCGGGTCTAACTCAGAACCTGCTTAAAGCTACTGTTTGCAGGTCCCCGGACTTTATGATGACACTCTTCAGCACGCACGTAAGGCCTTTGATCGAGTACTGTTCTTGCGTGTGGCACACCGGATACGTGGGTGACTTAAGGCTCCTCGAGTCAGTCCAGCGGCGTTGGACGAAGCGCGTCCATGGTCTCGGCAACCTAGATTACTACTCTCGACTTAAGGCCCTGAACCAATTTTCGGCCAAGGGCAGGCTCCTCCGAGCTGACATGATACAATGCTGGAAACTCTTCCATGATAAATGCTCAATCAAACCATCGGATATATTCGTGCTCTCGCCATCCTCTGGAACCCGAGGCCACCGCTTTAAGTTGCCACACGTCCGTCCCCAAACAGATTTACGTGCTAGATCATTTGGTGTCCGCTGTATCACTCCATGGAACTCTCTACCGGACGAAGTAGTGTCTGAACCAGATTTAACCAGGTTCAAATCCATGTTATCTGTGACACTGGGTGATACCCTGTTTGTATACTAATCTCTAGTGCGTATCTAAATGAATTGTGTCCCATGACCGTTAACTGTGTTCCGATTATAATGTTGCTGTTTGTATCTTGTCACTCTTGTAAACTCATTCATTTGGCACTTGTGGGCTCACTTTCCCGTTTGGATGTGTTCTCATCCATCGGGCGAGCTCTTTCTATGCGGGTTCCTTCCCTTCTCCCCATCCCTGCATTCATTTTGGCTACTCTCAGACCAAGGGAACCCCAAACAGGTGAGTTAAACAGGTGAGTTAATCAAACTGCCAGTGATCAATTAATTCAATTGATTAGTTCAATGGTCACAACCTTTCACAAATAATTACCAAATTTCGTGAAAACAAAAACTAACTGCGTAACGTAAAAACAAACTGCGGCAAACAGCGACGCAGGCACACTCGGCGTTACAGCCAGCAATGCGATGCGCATGCCAATAACTAAATATAAGAAAGCAAAAAAACATAGCAAACATAAAAAATACTAAGTAAGAAGCTCTGTTATCACGTACCTTATAGAATTCCAACGACTTCGCAGCCAGGCGAACAAAAAATGGCGGCCAGCGGATGACGCGCGTCAAGGCTGAAGATAAAGAATGGTATAAATGAAGCCAAACTCTTTTACTGATGTCTCACTCTTATGACGTAGCCATGGCAATCAAAATATGGCCGGTTGCGTAATCGACTCGTGGCAGGTAAGAAACGGTGCCAAGAGTCCATAGACTCTTCGGTATTCACCACCTGTGCGACCATGGAGCCTCTTGACCGTTTCATCACGAACCTCTTATTGCGTGACATGACCTTCAGGCTTCGAGTGCGTGACGGGAGCCCCAGAGCTACCGACGGACTTTCTGAGCGAATGGAGCCCTCCGATATGCCTACTGCCATCTCCTCACTCTTCAGAAATATGAGGAATCTTTATTTGATGAACATCAACATAGGCTTTCTTGTCAGAAGCCAGGCTAAAATATCCAAGTTGTCACTTCCCGTCTAAGGCGAGTCTTGAACACGAACCTGGCAGCCATTGCCTCGCAGTACCTATGAGAACCCTGGGCCCTGTTTCAGCGCGTGGCGCTACCTGACCCTACCAGGCATTGGCGCTCGATTTCCCTGGATACGTAATTTCCTGTTTTTGCTTACGTTTCCAAACAAACCGAAGCCAATACCCATGGTAGCGTTAGGTAGCGTCATGCGCTGAAACAGGGCCCGACTGCGAAAAAAAAAGAGAGGACGTGATGTTATTTGCCAAAAATTCGGACTGAAAATGGTATTTATTTACATCGAGGATGAAAGAAAAACACCCGCTTTGCTCCTTTCACCACCCCATCCAAAGTGCATCTGTACAGCAACGTCCAACTGACGAGGTAATTCACGCCTGCCAAGCAGATCATGCACTTCACTAGGCCAGCATGAGCATATAACAATATATCACAGAATCCAAAATATACGCCGACAATACCAAGAAGCTAGCAGAGTTGTGAACCCCGTGCTATCCTGGGTCTCTATGGCGTCAGACAATCCATCCATGCGCCACAAACCGGCGAGTACAAAAACACAAATCGTGTTGCAAGCGCATCTCACACCATCCGTTGGGAATGGAGCATTCACAGCGTCAGTCTTAACGCTGTATCTGGAACCATTCATTAAATGACGCGGTCGGTGCCGCTGACCGAGCTGACGTCACGACCTATCGCCGAGCACCTGGCGCACTGCGGCCGTCTCGGCGCGGCTCAGCGGCTTCAGGCCGAAGCCGACCACGTCGGGGCGGCCCTCCAGGTCGTTGAGGCGGTTCACCTTGCCGCGCAGTCCATCCCGCAGACCGGTGATCTCTTTGTCCAGCTCCAGCTGGTCTGAAATCGGCCCAGAACCGGGAACGTTGTCACAGGGTGAGAGATCTAACACTACTTCATACACAAGGCACTGATTTATAGTATAAAACGATACAATTAGACGACAGCAGTAACGTTACAAGCGCGTTTGGTGACAACTTAAACATATGCAAAGGCCTATACCTATGCAACCCATGTAAGTAAATACTGTAATATTTTGTAATGTAACACAATATACATGCATCAAATATACGTCTTAAGTTGAGGCGGATTCGTAGATGAAAGCAACAACATTGTTTTGCACACTCTTCAAAATTGCTTTGTGATCAAGGAAAACCCATCGATTGTGGAAGCATAAACTAAATACCGAAGTTTACCGTAACTAGACATCATTCCGCAGAGTCTGTAATCGTAGACGATCCCACCAACGAGTGTACATTCCGTCAAGGGACTCATATCGAAGGCCTGGATCATTCGATTTGCGCCTAGGCTTAGAGGTACTGCCGGAGTTCGGTGCTTATCAATCATACTACGGAACGGATAATGCTACCGAAAAATGAGTTCATTACAAACGCAACGAGCCGTATCTCTTTCACTTACCGTCTTCAAGAAGACTCTTCACCTTCGAAGCGGGCAGCTTGATAAAGGTGTTGCCGGCAGCCACCCAGGTTTTGCACTCGCCGCGTGATTTGATGAGTGAGCTGACCGCGCGAGATGCTTCACGCAAACCACTTTGCTTTCGTGACAGGTCCACGATCTGTAAATGATCAAAATACATTAGCAAAGCTTCCTCAATTCAGACTTCAGCAGACCAATGACATGCACATATTTCATAAAAGATGCAGGATACAGCAGGTATAAAACCTCAGCGAAATATCTGTGTCTCATCAATTTAGCTTGAATGTTTTGAATGGACAAATTGACAAAATCGGAGCCACTGCAAGGCATAGGTTACTGCACTCGCAAACGCTCCCACCGCTTGATCGGGTGAATTTCTGGTTATCGAGTGAGTTCATGTCCTCAATTTGACTGTGCGAATGAAATAAGAGGGCACATTGCACATGGTCAATACTCGCGAAGCTTGAAGAAAATGAGGATTTGCTACCATGTTTCATGTTGTATGAATAGCAAGTTCATTAAAAACGCTGTTTTTCACGTTTAGCATATGCATCGTCAAACATATCGAATGGTTAAGCATATCGTTAAAGGGAATAGTTCACTTTCACGAAATTAATTTTTTGGCTATGGATTTATGATTTTTATGCTCAAAATGATCAGTAAAGGAAATGAAAACTTATATAAAAAAAATATTTTTTCGATATTTTAATATAGGAATACTATTCAGTTTTAAAAGAGGGAAATGACCCCTGCAAGACACACATTCCTCAGCAAGGCAACTTTTTTCGGGACATTGACGAAGTGTCATTTCTAATCTTCCTCAGGTAAATGATAGTAATTCGTATTCGTTTCGGGCTACACTGAGGTAAAAAATTGTTAACAATTTTTAACAATTTTTTACCTCAGTGTAGCCCGAAACAAATACGAATTACTTTTTTCGGGCCGAGAAATGGAATATCTTTGCCTAGGGCAGTGGTCGGCAGGTCCTCTGGGGTCATGCCCCCTTTTCCGTACCCCCACCTACCAGACACCATTGCATACACAACCAAGTTTAATGCCATAACTTTCCGTGACACATTGGTAATTTGGGGTATTGTTATGTAAAAAGCGTCGGATCACGACAAAATTGTACCCTCGAGCCGATAATTTTTTAACTGCCCTTACACATTTCATGACCTTTGCACAAATAACAGTTGACTTGTTATTGAATTCATAAGTTCTTCTTGAGATCATGGTAGGCCATAGAATCTCAATTCAAGAAGTTAACCGGGTCCCGATTTTCTCGACAATCGTCATGGACCTGTTGAAAGTCACCCAGTGGCGGCCAAGGAACTTAAATTTGGGTGGCAGCGCTTCCTATCGTCACGGGTAGCACGCTCGTTTTTTACCGCAAATCTCCAGTTCAGAGGCCGAGAGGCTGGGGGTCCGATCGCCCCCCCCCCCTACATTAGCTGTTGTGAAAACGCCAATAGACGGGCGATGGTTAGCGTTCGGCCTGGACTTGTCTTTTCTTTGAATCCTGGGGACAATCAGTCGTGATGTCTGTCCCATCAAGGGAGCCATTAATTCTAAGATGAAGCTTTCTCAGAGGCCCTCATTACCCCCTGCCGAGGGACTCCATTACTTTGGGGGTAATGCCCCACCATTTGCCGACCCCTGGCCTAGGGTGATCGCTGGGCCGTAAAAGCTCCTGATTTGTGCTTGTCTCAGCTCATGCTACGGAACTGCTATTTCATTTCAAAACCCCATGCTAACAGTGAACTATTTCCTTCAGGGTTTCGAAGTCGGAATCGGAGTCGCCCGGAGCCGTGGCAAGCAGCCAGGAGTCGGAGTCGGAGTCGGAGTCGGTCCAGCTGCCTCGACTGCGACTCCGGAAAGTTGACTGAAGTCAATAAGTGCTCTAAAAAGTTAATTGTTTTCAAAACGGGCTTCGCTGAGGAAAACTAAATATTATAACCAAATATTTCGGCTTTATTGATCAGCCTTGTTCACAGGTTTGAAATACATTTGTATTTTCAAACCAGTGAAACCAGTTTCAATTTCAAAATGTATTTCAAACCAGTGAACAAGGCTGATCAATAAAGCCGAAATATTTGGTTATAATATTTAGTTTTCCTCAGCGAAGCCCGTTTTGAAAACAATTAACTTTTTAGAGATCTATTAACCTGAGGAAAAGAATAATGACGCTTTGGCAACATCAATCCGTGCTATCACTTTTCAGTTGTTTTTGACCAGTGGCCCCACGGCAAATTTCGCTTCCGTTGATCACAAATAAGGCATTTTTTCACCCACACATCTTGTTTTTGTTCTGAAAAGCTAACATTGCATCTTACAAATTTCAAGTTACGTCATAATTTAGTAGGCAAGCATTTTGTATTCGCGTTATAACTTCTACTATCCAGTGTCAAAGAGTAAAGACTTAAAGGGACTATCCCACCTTTAACATGGGGTTTGAGTTGAGATAGCCAAGTTTGCGGCGAGGTTCAGAAACCACTATCTATCTAGGTTGCAACCCCCGCGGCCTCTTGGTGTTGAAGAAATTCGTTCCCTTCATTTGAAAATGGGCCTTGCGCAAGGCCCTATCTTCAACATGGAGCGACCGTTAGTGTGACGTCACCTCGTTTAGTCATTCTGATTTAAATGGGTTTGTTCGTTGAAAAATCGCTTAAAACTTGGTCTGAACTTTGTTGTGGTGCCTACAGAGTAAAAAGAATCAGCTTTATGACAGTAATGTGGCCTGGGGAAGGAGGTACTTTTGGGCTGTGACGTCACATATTTGAAAGTTTGTGTTTGGAATATGGGAATCCTAAGATGTTTAATGAAAAATAAATGCCAGAACCGTGTTCCTGGTCATCCAATCTATAAAGTCGGGCACAATTTAACTGGTTTTAACAACATTTTAGAAGGTGGGATAGTCCCTTTTTAAATAGTCGTAGGCAATTTCCGCTGTTTCCTTCGGATTCTAGCGGCTCAACAAAGGAATTCCTCCAGCTTGAATCACAATCTCCCTCCAATGTATGACGTATATGTATGACGTCATCTGATCAGTCTCGATCTCAACGACAACTCAATCAGAAGAGCGGCCGCGTAAGCGTAGCGTCAATAATGTATTCTCTGCGCCAGTTCTGTAGTAATTTCGCAGGCTTCCAAAGTGGCGGCCATGCTTGTAGTGGTGGTTCGCTCATGAAAATGACTCGCTCATGAAAAAATATTTTTCACCGAGTTCGGTCCTCAAACTATGTTTTTCTGATTCAGAAAAATAAGAAATGCTAGTAAAAAAAAAATCAGCTCCATACATTTATTTTTTTTCGACGATACTGTCCCTTTAAAGGGACCCTCCCACCTTAACATTAGTTTTGAGTTGAGATAGCCAAGTTTGCGGCCAGGCTCAGAAACCACCATTTATCCTGGTCGCAACCCCCGCAGCTTTATGGTGTTCAAGAAATTTCTTCCCTTTACTTGCAGGGTGGGACCAGCGTGGTCCCTATCTCTTAACCATTACGGGAATCTGATGACGTCATCAGGCTTTCGAACGTCCGTTAAATGTTTGACTAAAACGTTTTGTAGCACGCGGTGGTATATGCTGCGTTGCGCGCAACAAATGCCGCACTTTTAAATAAAGTCGCTAGGAACGGCGGAGATCCCAAAAAGTAAACAAAAGTAAAAGTCTAATATCTTGAAAACCGGTGAATATTTTTCGGTGAAATTTGGTAGATATTCGTTTTCGCTCTTTCTGAACCGAGCGACATCACTTTCATGCCAATTCATAAACTTTTTTTAAGGTGGGAGGGTCCCTTTAAAGGGACCCTCCCACCTTAACATTAGTTTTGAGTTGAGATAGCCAAGTTTGCGGCCAGGCTCAGAAACCACCATTTATCCTGGTCGCAACCCCCGCAGCTTTATGGTGTTCAAGAAATTTCTTCCCTTTACTTGCAGGGTGGGACCAGCTATAGGGCTATGATTTGTATCGGAATTGTTTATGTAGAGCTGTGATTTGTATCGGAATTGTGTCGCGTCAGCGGCCACCGGGTCGGCGCAGACGGCGCCGTGCAGACCGGCTGTGAGCCGGCGGCCCGGCGCTAGCGTGTGCTGCGCGTTGTTTTTGTGCGGGTTAGGGAGGCGCATAGGAGGCCAGCGAGACCGGAACCGTGCGCCGCCGTCAACCGATTGGTTTAGCCTCGGACCGGCTGACGGGGGCGTATCCGCCTCGAGCTGGTATGTAAGCGCAGCGTGGAAGCAAAGTGGGGCTTAGTGTCTGCAACCCGAGGTGGTGGCAACACTGGGCACCCGACCGCTCTTCACGCTGCTGGCATCTGGCTCGAGGTAGGTTCCGACCCCGCAGGGATTGTCGCGGGCTCACGGACATCCCTTAGCTAGGTTAGGAGCATCCGGGAGGAGGGTTAGGTTAATTCGCGTGGCGTAGGGCAGCGTTAGGGTAAAGAGTCATGGTTGACGAATATTTCACTCGGCAGTCTTTTATCTTGATTTCGGCAATTTGATAAATGTGAATAAATGGGGGGATGAAGCGATAGCGTCTTTTGGTAATGAGATGAGTCGAAGGAGAACGGAGTTTGAGCGGAGTCAGATTCATTCGGTACCTTAGTTAGTCATCATCATGGCTCAGGAGCTTAGCTCCAAACCCACGAGGGTTCGCTACCAACCGCGTGTGCCCCAAAATGGCGGAGTTATTCACCTGAACCACGATGCATAGTTAGTACAATTAGTGTAGAGGACAGTGGCCCGGGTGGCAGACGGGTAAAAGGCTGGGAGACGTCCCGGCCGACCACTGATCCTGTAGAGTAAAGTAGAGATCCGGAGGGGAGGTAACGAAGGGCCTGCAGGACCGGCCTAAGCCCCCCTCACACAGCGTGGTCCCTATCTCTTAACCATTACGGGAATCTGATGACGTCATCAGGCTTTCGAACGTCCGTTAAATGTTTGACTAAAACGTTTTGTAGCACGCGGTGGTATATGCTGCGTTGCGCGCAACAAATGCCGCACTTTTAAATAAAGTCGCTAGGAACAGCGGAGATCCCAAAAAGTAAACAAAAGTAAAAGTCTAATATCTTGAAAACCGGTGAATATTTTTCGGTGAAATTTGGTAGATATTCGTTTTCGCTCTTTCTGAACCGAGCGACATCACTTTCATGCCAATTCATAAACTTTTTTGAAGGTGGGAGGGTCCCTTTAATGACAACTGTATATTTACTTTCTTCTTTTATCGCTCGGAAAAGTGCCTAACACAAACACAGACCGACATGATGGCGATGCCCATTGCCCGTGGTCATGATACGGTCACACTCGTGCTTCTCGGCGGGTTTTCAAGCTGGCCGCCGGCCGCTGGTCTCTAAAGGATTCAGCTGCGTCCACGTGGGAGAAATGGTGTCCGCATGAACGAAACCGGAGCGATCTCCCGGTGCGCGAACAGGGTGCCCGGAAAGTTCTGGCGCCTCTTTTGGACGTCGTCTAACGCGCGCTGTGATTATTGGACTTTCAACCAATCACCGCAGATATGACCCCTCGTTCACCGCTCAGCTACGGGTCGCGTAAATATGACCTTGAAACCGTTTTCAGTGCTAGGTATATGGGCGAAGATGCGCCTTATCGCTGAGAGCCCGCGCGCGGGGGCCCGGTGTGGCTTGAACGAGGCGCGAGTTACAGCGCGATGCGGCGTTTCCCGGCGAACGGTCGGGCAGGCAAAGGTGCATTCGGGATCGGAAATTTCTTAGAAAATATTCTCACTCAGGAACAACCACGGTATGCCAAAGCTGCTGAGACTGAAGCAGCATTTCAGCGGCAATCGAAGAAAATCTGGGGTCTGATGGACACAAATGTTCCATCATTTTCGTCAAGGTCAAATAAATGACTGACAGGCTGGTCCACGACGGGTTCCTGGACACGAAAATCAAGGCGACTTGCCCTAAGGGCCATTTCGCACTTCAACAGCACGGAGCGCCCTCCAACAACGCCGCTGCCGTCCAAACCAAACTCACAGGGAAGCTCGGCGGACCCGATCACCGTGGTGAAATGAGATTAGGCCACCTTATTATCCCAGCCTTAACCCGCTCGACTAAGGCGTGCTAGCGTTTTGCAGAATAAGCTCTAGGCCACCTCTCATCCCAGCCTGGAGTCGCTGAAGACTCGCATCATGACAGCATGGGAGGACAGGAGATGTCCTGCATCGTCAAAACCCGCAGGCGTTTCCGCCCTTGCGTCGAGGCTGTCGTCGGCACAGACGGTGGTTACAATGAATGGGCACTTAGCAGAAGCATGTGGCTTGGTGTTCCTGGTCATTGTTTTGTTCTATTGTTGAGTATTGATGGACCAAAGGCATTTATTTTAAAAATGTTGAAAAGCGCCAGGACTTTCCGGACACCCTGAAGATCTAACAGGGCGCGTCATATCACGCGGAATTTTGGCAGCCACCATTGCCCTTTGTATCAGACCCGGAGTCAGAGTCGGAGTCGGAGTCGGTCAGGACTCAGGAGCCCAGAGTCGGAGTCGGAAGAGCACTACCACGACTCCGAAACCCTGATTTCCTTTAAGAATTGTTCAGAATCAGAATAATTATCAAAGATCTGACATCGACTAGGATAATAATAGCTTGCTGCAAAAGGTATATACCGCATCGTACTCTAGTACACTCAGGGGCAGATTGAAGTTCCACTACTCCCTACCCATCGGGCTCCCATGGCTCAACACTGGCAGCGGCCAGTGGCAGCACTGGCAGCACTGGCACTGGCAGGCAGTGTTGAGCAGTGCTGAGGGCAGGCAACACTGGCAGCGGCCAGTGCTGACTGCTGTGCCATGGGAGCCAGCAGTCAGCACTGGTCCAGTCACGTTTCCAGTCAAGGAAACGTGCAGTTCCCGATTTTCCCGATGGTAGTGCTTTGTGACTGTAGGGCGCTCACCCGATTTTCACGACGTTTGGGTAATTGACCTGACCTGAAAGGTCAACTAATGACCTAGGACCTTAACATTGAGCATCATCGGCTTTCTGTCGTCGTGTGCAGCAGGCTGTTTTTTCTGCGTAGCTCTATCTTGATCGTGGGCCGAATGGCTGGGTAGTCCAACAACCTCCCCCCTCCCTCCCCTTCCTGTACGGTAGCGGCTGGGAAAACGCCCATACGGGCGAGGGTGATTCCAATAACATATCAAACTGTGTGGAATTCATTTTCAAATCTGCCCTTGTTTAAGGCCCCATGCAAACTCATTCAAGCTTTTTATGGGCTGATGGCTACTGGCTAGTGAATGACAAAGCATGCCAAACAATGAATATTGGCATGTTAGCTTAAAAAAGTGTGGAACAATAGAACCAACCTATGGAACTATCGTGGACCTAAAGGCGAATAGCAGAACCTTGGAACTTCCAACCTATAGACAATGGAGCAACAGGAACACAAGACTACCAGAAAATCTAGCACAAGTCACTCATCAAGCTTACAGCTAGGTACTATATGCAAGAAATCTGTGCCAGATCAGCTTAGGACTTAAGCTCATAGCCCTTCACTGACCCTTCCTCCCCTGACTCAGAGGGTAGTTGCAGATCACTGACTACAAGCCAGACTATTCCCAGAAAGACAAACAGAAGATGCCAAGCACTGCCATGAACTAGGTACCCATCCAATAAAAACCATGATCGTTATCAGCTGTTTGAACTAAGCGCCTACTGTGTGGCCCAGTAGATTGTTCACACTGAACTCACCTGTTGTTTATCAGTCAGGACATCCTCTGCAGCTGCCTCTACAGCCTCCAGTTCACCAACCACCTTCTGAAGGTGGGGATCCATTGTGGCTGTAACAAGAGGGTGACAATCAGCTCTGTCAAAGGAAGAAAAGTAATTGCACTTGTCACCTAGGCTGTCATAGTTATAGCTGGAGGATGATCCTCAGTTATTTCTTAAGTTTGTAGTGTCACACCTATTGTACCTATTTCAATAATTCAACAGAAAAAGCATCAACTACTACAAGCCTTTTGATCAGACATTTGCCACCAAGTTACAAAGCAGTGGACAGGGTCTTGCAGTGAGAACAGAGGTCATCAGATTATAAAGGAATAAGGAATAGGAGTGGCAGGGAATCCCCAGGTTGGCCCCAGGGAAGGAGGGTTCAGAGTAGAAATTGAGCATATCAATATAAAACAAAGCTTATGTAGGAGTAGGTGGGTAGGGATTAAGAGGTTCAATGCGAGTGGAAAGGAGAAGAGAAGGACTGAAGAGAATGTGGCTAATTAATAATGCAACAAAATGCTCATGGCTGGACTAGGAACATGAATAAGGGAAAACGCAGATGCGAGAAAACCAAGGTTGGTTGCTTTAGTTTAAGCACAATATCCAGTGGACCAAGTGCTAGCCGCCAGACTGCAAAGTATGGCACGCAGGTCGACAAGGCGCACCGGCCCAAGTTCAAAATCCGCACCAACCCTTCAAACTGAGCCGGAAAATCCGCACCGGGGCCCTGTTTCACCGGTGATAGCAGCACGCTGCTTTTACACGTGTCAAATTGGGTTTCCATTGAAACATCAACAGGACCATTGCTCCAACACTACCACAAGTGTGACGTCAGCTCGCGCAATTTGATAGCAGCGTGGTAGCAGCGTCCCGTGAAACACCGCCCAAAGCGCGCCGAGAGCCCAAAAAATCCGCACCGAACCCACAGGCAATTATAATGCAAGGGGCTTAATTCATCTCACTATAATTACTTCCCGTCCAATTTCAGTTTCACTTACCTCTTGAGCAAGGCTCACCACGGGACCACGCCGCGTACTTGTACCGGAAGCACTGAACTCTATAATGACCGGAAGTTTGAAATAGAGCAAATTGGAGCAAGTAGACGAACGCCGGCGAAAATAGGGCGCCAGAGGATTTAGCGTAGTTTAGCTTTCGCTTTAATTGTTTATTGACGGCGTCATAAGACCAAAAACACTTACCTTACCTTACCTTACCTTGAAGGTCATCGGGATAGAAAAGGCCACTTGGCCTATAGGTCCCGTTCTCACCGAGTTACTTGCAGAGACATTCAGGACTCGTAAGGTTGTGGCATGACATACATTAGGTGGGTCCAGTGATGGTCAAGTCGTGCCTTGAATGTCGAGAGTGTTTCGGCCGATACGACCTCAGCAGGTAGAGCGTTCCAGTCGTTGATGATGCGGACGCTGAAGCTGCTTCGTCGGGCGAGAGTCACGGCTCGGGGTTTGAGCAGCTTCCACCCGTGTCCTCTCGTCAGCTCGGTCTCGTTCTTGGTGAAGAAGGTCGTTGGCGGCACATCGATTCCACCGTGGAACAGCTGGTAGACCGTCAGCATGTCTCCCCTGCGGCGGCGGTAGAACAACGACGGCAGTCGGAGACGCTCCAGACGCTCGGGGTAGGGAAGGTGCTTGATGGATTCCACCATACGCGTGGCGCGTCTCTGGACCTTTTCTAAGCGTTTCTGGTCTCCTTTGCTGAACGGTCCCCAGACGGCGTTCCCAAACTCCAGAAAGGGGCGGACGAGAGCCTTGTAGAGCAAGGGTAGGGTCGTCTCCTCGATGTGAGCGAAGGATCGCTTGATGACCGCGAGCAGCTGCGAGGCTTTTGAAACGGCCGCGGCCGTTTGCGAGTGAAACTTCAGCTCAGAGTCGATTATGATCCCCAGATCCCTTTCTTCGTCTACCACAGCGATGGGCGTCCCGTTCAGCCTGTATTCGTGTGCAGGGTTTCTTGAGCCCATGTGCATCACCTTACACTTTCCTGCGTTGAACGGCAGCAGCCACCTTGAGGACCATCGTGCCAGAGCGTCCAGATCACCCTGCAGGCCAGCACCACGATCGGATGGATTTTTCAGTGGCTTGTATAGCTTCGTGTCATCCGCGAACATCTTCATATTGCTTGAGACCTCTAGTGGCATGTCGTTGACGTATATTGTGAACAGCGTCGGCCCCAATACTGAACCTTGGGGGATACCGCTGGAGACAGGTGCCCACTCCGAGTTGCAGCCCTGAATCAGCACCCGTTGACGACGGCCAACTAGGAAGGTCTGTATCCAGGTGAGAAGTTTACCTCCGACACCATACGACCTCAGCTTCTCGAGAAGACGTTTGTGCGGCACCGAGTCAAATGCTTTGGCGAAATCTAGGTAGACCACATCCACCGGGGTTCGGTCTTCCAAGGCGGCGGTCCAGTCTTCTAGTGCCTCAAGCAATTGGGAGCTACACGAACGCTTCGCCAGGAAACCATGCTGAGCTCTGTGAAGCAGGCCGTTTACTGACATATGGTGCAGGAGCTCATCCCTGATGACAGATTCGAGGACCTTACAACAGACGGATGTCAGGCTCACCGGTCTGTAGCTGGATGGTAGGCGGCGATCTCCTTTCTTGAATATCGGAGTCACGTTGCCGATCTTCCACTCTGGGGGGACATCCCCGGAGTCCAGCGATTTCCTGAAGATCCAGCTCAGTGGGTGGGAGAGGACGGCTGCATTCTCCTTTAGTACGCGAGGGTGAAGGCCATCGGGTCCTGGTGAGCTGTGTGCCCGCAGCGCTGCCAGCTTAGTGTGTACCCGTAGCGGGGAGATTTCGATGTCCTCCAGAAGCGGTCCGTGATGGGGGCGCTCCAGGACAGGGATGGTGTCTGACGCTTCTTCGACGAAGACGCTACTGAAGTATCTGTTCATGGCGTTAGCTTTTGCCTTATCAGAAGACACCGTTTCTCCATTCTCGTCTTCTAGGTCGCCGATGCCGTTTTTGGTCTTGAGGCGTGAATTTGCATACCGCCAGAAGCACTTCGGGTTATCTTTGATTGACAGTACCAGCTTTTGCTCATGTTGTCTCCGGAGGGTCATGTTCCTCAGGTCGTTTCGACACCTGACGTACCTGGCGTGATCAAGTTCATCGTGGCTTCGGCAGTAAGTGCTCCACAATAGCCTTTTCCTTTTCCTTAGTTGGAGGGCTTGGCGGTTCATATATATGTTATGGTCAGAGGTCTTCTTTCTGATGCTGGAGCATGACTCAATGGCTGCACGGATTGACGAGCTAAAGAAGGTGTGAGCTTCTTGAGTACTCATGTTCCTCATCACCGCCCAGTTGCACGATTCAAGCGCATTAGTCAGGGAACGATAGTTGGTGCGAGAATACATGCGTGGCAGCGAGGATGGCGCAGGTGCGTAGCACATCAATGTGAAGGTAAGGATCACATGATCACTTCTACCCAGGGCAGGGCCATACTCAAGGTTGCGAACCATACCCTCCTCATTGGTAAAGACTAAGTCCAGAGTACTTGGCCTCTCTCCAAGCCTGTAACGTGTGGGCTGGGTAACATGTTGGAACAGGTAACAGTCCTGGATCGTCTCCACAAAGGAGTGTGTGGCTGAAGGAGATGCACCAGTTGCCCAGTCAATGCCAGGAAGATTGAAGTCGCCAATGATGACAAGGTGTGAGAAGGGGGCTGCAGCTGCTTGGCAAATCAGCTGCTCCAGCCTTTTAATGCTTTCTTCTTGGGAACCAGATGGGCTTCGGTAGATACACCCTATCAAAAGGTGGTCTGTTCCTTGTAGCTTCAGTCCAACCCAAACATCTTCAATCATTGATTTGTCAAAGACTACCTCAGAGACGCTCAGATGCTGTGCTACATACACACAGATACCTCGTAATCCAGAGTTGCCCAGGTCCATCATACCTGGATTGAAGTTGGTGAATAACAGGTATCCTGGAATGTGCAGCAGTGATGGGGCAATAGGCAGTCTCTGAGCTTTTGGAAGGGTCTCAGTGAGCAGCACCACATCTGGCTCCTCTCCACATATCCTCATGCTTAGCTCATCCCTTTTGTTTATGAACTGGTCTGTGTTTGTATAGAGCACACGAAGATTCCTGACAGTCTTTTTCCTCTGGCTCCAGGCTACGTTTTCTTTATCTAGTCAGTCTTGCCGAACTGGCTCTCTAGCAGTGCCATTCTGGTTTTCAGGCTGCTGAGTGTCCACCACAGCAGAGCTGTCCTCCTGTTGGCGGATGTTACCTGTTCCAGAGCCCGCTGATCCCCCAGCGGAAGGAGTGGGTTGTACATCTGCAGAGTGTCCAACAGGTCTCTCCTGCTGCTGTCTATTCATCCCATGAGCAGGGTTTGAATCGGGTTCCCGAGCTCTATCAGTGCCTGTTGAAGATGCAGCATGTTGGGGCAGCTGAATCACTTTGCCACCCCTGATGACAAGGTTGTGTTCTCCCGCCTGCCTGCGGGTTGCAAGTTCCTCTCTCAGTTTTTTATTTGTTTCTCTCTCCTTCTGCGTCATGTCTGGGGAGATGTATATGTTACTGTAGTTCGCTGTGTTCCTGAGCCATGGCGCACTACGCAGGATGTCACCACGGACGGATGGGTTTCCGAGTGTGACTATGAGTAGTCTTGGTTTGTTGGGAAGTTTTTTGCCTGCTCTGAAAGAACCAACTGCTGTTACATTCAGTTTCATCACATCCTTGATAATTTTCACTACCACTGTAGTGTCCTTTGCAGATCTTTCTGTAACAGTGTCTCCTTCATGTTCAGGAAGGTTGTGGACCACTATGTTTGCCTTGCGCCTTTCCTTGTCGGCAAAGTCATCGAGTACCTTTGACATGTCCATAGCTGTCTTAGAGCTGCCAGTTGTAGGAATTTTTGGGAAAGAGTCAAGTTGTTGTTTTACCATATTGGTAACTTCCTCACAAGTTCCTTTCACTGCATCTGCATAGGATGACTTTTGCTGTTTCAGAGTTGTCTCAATGGCTTTGGCTTGGCTTTGAGCATTTCTTTCGCAAGTTTCTAAACACTTTTTGAGTGCATCAAGGTGGCCACTTGCCTCCTTGTCTCGGGTCTGAAGAGACTCTTTAATCAGGTCTGATTGTTTAGAGACTGATGCCTCCAGTTGGATGATCCTTTGCTCGAGAGATGAGACAAGATGGTCGCATTGCTTTTTTTGTTTCAGATCTACTTTGCATTTGTCACAGAGCCACGCAAGGGTTTCATACTTGTCAAGTGCCTTGACGGCTAGCTTCGGAACCCCCTGGCAGTGGGGGTGAAACCAGTCATGGCATTTGTCACACATCAACATAATGCCTGGTTCACCATCCTTGACAGGGTTTCCACATGCTTTTACGCTCGGTCCACCCCTGCAAATAGCCCCCTCACTGCCTGTATCACTGGATGACCGCGAGAGAGAGCTAACAGAGCCAGGCCCATGACCAAACAGTTTATACATGCTTTCATCCAACTTACCGACAGTTTTCTTGCTCTGTTCCGTGTCCATAGGTGGGCACGATCCGTTCCTCCGTTCCTCCGTTCCGGAACGCCGTTACAATTTTTAGGAACGGAGGAACGGACTCGTTACATTTTAAAAAGGGTAACGGACCAAGTAACTTCCGTTACATTGGTTGTTCGTTCCTCCGTTACAAGTTAACAGTTTAGTCCGTTCCTTCGTTCCTCCGTTACTTTTCGTTGTCCGAGCGGGTTGATCTTTCAGCTAACCCACAGACATTAATGCAGCAGCGGAATAGTGGATTATTGAGCAGCCCTGACTTGAAGACGGAAGATGGCCTCAGTGTACAGTGTACTGGCCTTCCGCAATGAGCCGGCGTTGCAGTATGTGTTCGCAAAGTTCAACACGGGCGTCCCTTCAAGCGCCTCAGTAGAGCGCATGTTCTCAATGGGAAAAGATGTGCTACGTGCAAAAAGGGCTACCCTCTCAGAAAGTGGCAGCGGAACATCTTCAATTAAGGGAGAGGGGGGGGGGCACTGCCGACTTTTTGTCCCATTCTTTCCATGCAACGCACATAGGGCTAATGTTAAAATGCCAAAATCAAAGGGGGCACGGTGCGCCGGTGCCCCCCCCCTTTCCGCCGCCTATGCTCTCAGATGCCAACCTGGAACGTCTAGTGTTCGTGAAGGGCAACCGGCATCTGGCCGGGGACAAGTGATGCGCATCAGTACCACCAGACGTTCCAAGGTTTAGTGTCCAATCAGTGCCCACTGTCTTGGAAGATTTGGTGGGCATTCCGCTTTCTCGGTAGGTTTAGTTTGTGTCAGAATGGTCTCAAAAATGTGTGAAATACCCAACATTTTAACGTTTTTTATTTTGCTGTAACGGAGTAACGGACTAAAAGAACTTCCGTTACATTATATGCAGAGGAACGGAGGAACGATTAACGGAAGTCACGTTTTGAGGGAACGGAGGAACGAGTAACGAAGTTACAATTTTGGGGAACGATGCCCACCTATGTCCGTGTCCATACCTGTATTGTCTCCGACTCCGCTCTCTTTCACTTCATTCAGATTCTCATCTCCACGGCTTTGATTCCCACCTCTCACATTTCCTCGTGGCGATGAACTCTCTTCGGTTTCGTCGTTCGTGTTTTCAGCGATGACCTTGGGATCGTCGGTTGCGGAATCAACGCCGGCTGCCTCTACGGTAGATATTTGTCTCGCGCGACGGGCGCGAACATTTGCCGGTGGTGAATGCTCGACGGGCATTTTGAGCCGTTCGTTGATGACTTGAAGATATGACGATGATCGCGTATTTGTGAAGAATGGAAGCTAGAAAAATGAGAAGGTTCCAAAAAGGACGCCTACCAGGCGTTGGTTTCCCGCCAAAAACACCAGGGACACCTATTGGCCAGCTGAGGAATCAGGAACCAGGAGCTCGGTGAGACACGTCCGACCCGTATCAAACTTGCTTGCCCTCTTGCCCACTTGCCCTCTTTTCAAAAGTTACGTTTCAAGTTACCTAGCAGCTAAACAGGTATGTATAATTTGAAAGGTCAATTGAACAATAAATAAAGAAATTGCTGTTTTTGAATAATCATTTTTGGAGTTAAACGAGGAAAGACGAGTTTTATTGATCTTACTGATGACTTACTTACTTACTTACGATGTACGAGAATTTTGAAGGCCCTTAGGCCTGTGGGACTCTGACTTATCGAGCTCCATGACGATATCACTGCCTCAGTCATTGGAGTGGATGGTGTAGAGGAGGTGAGACCAGTGGCGGTCGAGCCTGGACTTGAATTCGTTCAGGGATCGCGCTTCAACCACATGAGCAGGAAGAGCATTCCAGTCATTGACGACCCGGACGCTGTACGCGTTTCGCCTCGATCGGGAAGACGCTCTCGGCTTCAACAGCTTCCAGGGGTGTCCTCTTGTAGTAGAGTCAGCCAACTCAAAGAATGACTCAGGATCGAGGTCAACACCCCCGTGGAAAAGTTGGTACGTCATAATCATGTCGCCGCGGCGCCTTCGATAATAGAGAGACGGGAGTTTCAGCGAGCGTAGTCGTTGGTCATATGGTAGGCTCCTCAGTGATGGGATCATCTTCGTTGCTCGTCTCTGGACACGCTCCACCTTTTGCTGGTCAGCGCGATTGAAGGGGCCCCATACGATGTTGCAGTACTCGAGGTGCGGTCGTACCAGGGTCTTATACAGAAGCGGTAGCGTGGTGGCGTCGATGCGTTCGAAGGACTTGTGAATCACCGCGAGCATCTGGGAGGCTCTGGATACCGCTGCAGCGGCTTGTTCACGAAACTTGAGGTCCTGATCGATTTGGACGCCTAGATCACGCTCAACTTCAACCTCAGCAAGCTGGTAGTCTCCAATGACATATGACTCATATGGAATGCGCTTTCCAACGTGGATAACCTTGCACTTTTGGGAGTTGAAACTGAGGCACCACTTGCTGGACCAGTCGACAGCCGTGGAGATATCCGCCTGGAGCAGAGCCGCATCAGAGGGGTTCTGAACAGGACGGTAAATCTTTGTGTCGTCCGCGAACATCTGTATCCCGCCTTGCATAAGGCCTGGAAGATCGTTGACGAATAGGACGAACAGAAGGGGTCCCAGGACCGAGCCCTGAGGAACGCCGCTACTGACTGTGGCCCAGTCAGAAGATGAACCGTTCAGGACAACTCGTTGTTTTCTATTGCACAGGAAACTTGTTATCCATCTGAGCAGGTGTCCACCGATCCCATATGCCCTGAGTTTGTGGAGGAGTCTCTGGTGGGGCACAGTGTCGAATGCCTTAGAAAAGTCCAAATAGATAGCGTCCACTGTCTCGCCCGTCTCGATCGCCCTGCTCCAGTCCTCTAGAGTAGCTAGCAGCTGAGTTGCGCACGATCTTTTTGGACGGAAACCATGCTGAGCGTTGTGGAGCTGGCCAGTAGAGACCATATGGTTCATAATGAGGTCCCGAATGATGGACTCCAGTATTTTGCATGGAACAGCAGTCAAACTGACGGGCCTGTAATTTGTCGGCAGCTGCTTGTTCCCCTTCTTGTATATCGGGACAACTTCGCCCAGCTTCCATTCGGATGGAACCTCACCTGATGCTAAGGACATGTTGAACAGCCGTGCCAGAGAAGGGGCAATAGACTCGGCAGTCTCAGAGAGGATTCGTGGGTGGATGCCGTCGGGGCCCGGGGAGCTGGCGGGCTTGAGACCCTGAAGCTTGTTGATGACTGCCTCTGGGGTGATACTTACAGGCTCGAGTTCGGGACCAGAGTACCTCGCATGGAATGGAGGCATAGTGGAGTCTTCGACAGAGAAAACGCTGGAAAAGTACTGGTTAAGAACAGCTGCTTTGTCTCTGTCTTCAGTGGCGAGGGAGCCGTCCGCATGCAGCAGGTGCTCAACCTTGGACCTGGTCTTGGTTCGAGAGTGGACGTATCTCCAAAAGTGCTTGGGGTTCATTTTTATGTCGCGCGCCAGTCTGGTTTCAAAGTCAAATCTCAAGTTTCTGGTCATCCGTCTGAGGTCGTTTCTGACTCGAACAAAACGGGCATGATCTATGGGGTCTTTGGTGTGCAGATATTGAAGCCACAAAGATCTTTTCTTCTTCTTCAGCTTGAGTGCCTCTTTGGTCATGTAAATATTTTTCTTCACTATTCTCCGTGAGACACGAGGGACACACTTGCTGATGAGGTTCATGAGCAGACTCTTCCAGTGACTGCTCCTCAAGAGGCTTGTCCTGTCCAATGTCCCAGTTGGCATTTCTAATCTGGTGATTCAGAAGACTGAAGTCGATTTGGTGGAGGTTAAGACGATTTGATCCTGACACAGTTCTAACAGCATAGCATTCAAGATCGAATGAGATCATGGCATGGTCGCTGCGGCCAAGGCCGTGGTGGTACGTGACATTTTGAACCATCCCTTCTTCGTTTGAAAAGATCAGATCAAGAGTGCTAGGCACCTCGCCAATTCTAAAGCGGGTGGGTTCTGAGACGTGCTGATGAAGAAAGCAGTCCTGAATAACTTCAACAAAAGCATGAGAGATGTGGTTGGGTGGTGCTGATGAGATACCCATTTCCCAGTTGATTTGAGGCAGGTTAAAATCACCAGCAAGCAGTATGTGAGAGTAGTTCAATGATGTCACATGGTGGATGAGGTGATCAAGCATTTGCACAGAAGCTGTTGCATCACCTGAGGGACTGCGGTACAAGCAGCCAATGAGCAACTTGTCTGGTGCGGACAGAGCCAGGTCAACCCACAACTGCTCGCTGAAGGGGATATTACCAAAATTTATCTCAGTTGCCTGAAGGCTTTTGTGGACATATATACTTATCCCTCTCATGCCGCTGCTGCCCAGGCTGCTGTCTTGAGGGTTGAAGTTGCAGTACATAGAGTAACCACTGAGTGCCAAAAGTGCTTCAGGGATTGGTTTTGATTGTGCCTTAGGTATGACCTCTGTCAACAGAATCAGATCCATGACGTCATATGATAAAGTCGAGCGCAGGGGGGTTCGCTCCCGCAGCCCCCGTTCACGAGTCTCAGAATTCCTTTACCGTGACGTCACGTGGGCGGCAAAAATCCCTTCACCCCATAACGATCCATACAAATGAGGCCGAGTTTTGAGCTGGGCTGACGCCTAAGTTGAGGGCTAAAATATTATAAAAAGCATACCATTTGACTCAGTAAGGCTTGATTTTTCCAAAACCGGGCCTCAATAGGTCGAATTCGAATGAACCAAGCATTAATTTTGCCTTTTAGATGAGGCCTGCAAATTTCGATGAAGTTTTTTCTCGTGAAGGAAAAAAAATAGTGCTACCAAATGCGTCTTGCGCCGCTTTTGCAAAAGTTAGATACTAACGCCATTTTCTATCAATAATATGCAAATTTATTATGATTTTGGCCAAATCGAATGGCAAACATTCACTTAACAATAGCAAGACTTCTATGAGGTGCATTGTTTTGGCGAGTGATCTAAAGTATGCTTCAAAAATACCACTGGAACTTGGTATGCCTCATACTGCACTACCAAAGTAACTGAAGACTCGTATCTGAGCCACTTTGAATACAAGATAATGGGCTGAAGTGTGAAAAAGGCTGTGTTATGCCTTTCAAGAGAAGAAAACATGCCAGTATTGGTCTTTTTAGCACAAATATTTATTTCTAGTGAATATTAATAATGTGTAAAATCATAAAATGTTGAAGTTCACTTGATACGAGAACAATCAACAGATCACCAAAGCAAGGGACCTGGTTGACTGGTCTTGTTGAGTCCATTTTTTACATTTCTCTCATCCAATAAGTACCTAGTTAATTGAGTAGAGTATTGTCTACTATTATAATTTGTGGTTAATACCTTAACATAGAACATTGTGTGCAACTGTCGTGCTGCCGCAAGGCGCAAATGAGCAAGCACAAGTGCTACAGTGACATGAATCATGATGAATGTATTTCCAAGGTGGCATGTACAATAAATGTTACAAGGGTGGAGTATGTTCTTTTATGAAATGGAAACCATTTAGAGATACAAAAACATCACATGATTCAGAAGAATATTGGTGAGCTGATGATATTTAATGTTCGTACTTTAAAAGCACCCATAAAAATCATTTTCATTTTGTTGAGCAGTGCTCTTGAGAAAATGGGTGACCGGGACGGGTCAAGCAATTGAGTTGAAGAACTATGCTGAAATATGAATACAACACTAAACATTTTCAGCACAAAGAACCATCACCTTCTTTGTCCAGTCCAAACACATCCATTTTTGAGTGCATATTGCACACTCAGGAAACCTTAATGTAAGGCTGAAGCTGAACTGCAGGTTCATTAGCTATGTTAGACTGTGCCCACTGCCCAAAGTTCCTTACATAAGACCAGTGAGTGATGAAGTTCTAACTTCTAAATCATTGAAGTCACTTAGAAACATGGCCTGGCACATTTTGCACAGCTATTTCAATTTCATATAATCCAGCAAAAGATATATTGAATGTCATATGGAAACCATGAATAATGAATGTGTACTGGAGCAGCCAATCTGCAAATATGGTAACTTCGACGAGATCTTGTTGGTGCGGGCTTATTCGGCTGGTGCGGAGCGGATTTGGCTAATGGCTTGGTGCAGTGCGGATTTAGTGTGGTGGGTAGGTTAACCCAGTACAAAATACCATTAGAAATTACCAAATGGTTCCAAATGGGAAAAACCATTTGACTTA